CTAGAACTTGCAAGCAAAAACGCTTTGCGTTCCGGTGGATGGATTTTTTTATTATAGAAAATTGTCTCATGTGGTATGGCCTGCATGATTACATATGCAGCCCAAAAAGTGTAAATCATCCATCTTAAAGATGGATGCAAGTAGGTGTTCTATCTAAAAATAATGGAAACTAATAGTCCAAATGTTTTCTTATTAGAATTATTATCTCTAGTTTTAAAATTTTACTTTTTTTTTCAAATTCATGATCTCCATGTTAGAGATTGCATGTCCTTAAAAATTAAGTCCAAAAATCCATCTCAAAAATAAATTTATTGACAAGCTTGCATTTCTACATATGCAAGCTTGGCCGCATAGAAACCGGGTCCTTTTATTATAGCATTGTATTCTACGAGGTCATTTATCTTTGGTATGAAGAAGTCATAATCTCCCATAATTGATAGATATGAAATCTCATAGCTTGGAGCATATCCCTTTTCAAAAAATAAAAAATAAAAATGAACTTTGAGTTCAATTAATGGGACACCTTGTGTACAGTTCAATTTGGGACCGATCTCACACGAGATTAGGACATAAATCCGCTCTTCATGAGTATTTTTAAGAGATGGACATGGCCTTGTCGAATTTCTACCCGAAGGTGACCGCATCTTGAACAAGAGATCAAATCCTCTTTAGGTCATTGGTAGTACTGGCTTGTAAATCACATCAAAGTTCAGATGAATGAGAAAATCAGAAAATGAATAAACAATGCATAAATTATCCTAAACATGCATAAACTTTTAAGAAAATGTTAGTAGGAAATAAGGTAAATGTAAATTAATGAAACTTACGCCTAACAGGGCCTTTTGGCCCACGACCCAAAATAGGAGGCCTCGATCAGCTTATGTTGAAAGAACTCCCTTTTTTGTTGAAATGAATGACTAGATCCAATTAAGAGCTGACAGTCATTCGCACCGCAGGTTTCGACACAAATCCGATATACAATACGCTAGAAGTCCTGACGCGACATTAAACCGACTTAGTTTAACATAGATTTCTCTAGGATTGCGATTTTAAAGGTTAAATCGTGTTATTTCATGTCACCATTCGTGCGGTTTGGCAGTGTCATTATGTCATCCTTCCATCTTACTTATAAACATACCGTTTTGAGGGAGTAAGCTACTTTATGCGGGATTTTATGGGATTCTATGAAATCTTGAGAATATTCAAAGCTGGAATAGTCATGGTTTAAGTGTCCTATAGGTTATTAGGCTAGTGAGATCCCTAGGGCTTATTAAAAGCTTCTATTATGCATTTGAGGGTTATTTCTCATGCCTTGAGATTTAGAATTAAAAGAAAATGACAATTCCAAAAATGGGGTGTTTATACACACCTTATCCTTAAGGGGACAATTGGGCAGCAATGACGTGATAATTCAATAACTTACTTAGAAACTTAGAACTAATGCTCAGAGGATGAGAATCCTATCAAGTCCATCGGCATATTGACTACCACCCTATCTCAACTCATCTAAGAATTTTTGTGAGGGAGATTGAGCATTCCCTGGGGTGTTCACGGGCAATATAGATTGCTGCCTAGGTTCCATAGTGCCACGAGTTCTGAATTTTTAAGTTAATGAATGGAATGAAATGGAGTTGAATTGAAATTGACTTTTACTTTTAATCTTCCATATTTCTTAGCTTTCCTAGTGAATAGGATATTCTAGTGAAAATGCTAAAAAGTGTTGGATTCAAGGCCTTAAAGGTAAGATTCTCTTGCTCGGTAAGAGTGAGTAAGAGAAGATGATTATGGGTGTTTGACGAACTGAGACCCAAGATCATATACCCCGCATACATGAGACAATAAATGACTTCGATATGAAGGAGAGATATCATGTGGAGGTGTGAGGGCCACCTCCGAATCAGGGCTATATTTATGAGTGTGCTTCATAGTTGGTGTGATTGGTTGGGGCTAGGAGAACCAAAAAGAGAATATAGAACCCGAGTAACCACCGAGTAACAACCCTATATAAGATGGTCATGATTCATAAGACATGAGTCTGTACCCTCACATGAGACCACCCTATAAAATGTGCACACACAGACGTACAGGAAGCCACTATTCTGATGTATAATCCAACTAAAAAGAATCAATGCACATGTGCCTTAAGAGGACCCATGTATGTGATTACTTTTATGTCCCTAAAGGTATATACCTGTATCCACTGTGAACCGAGTGATGAGAAGCTTGATTGAAATAACTTTGAGAAAGCGAAATTATGCGCCACCACCATAAATTGTAGAATATGGGCTCATTGGATCATTCCAAGATGAGTGATCACTACAATTTTTACTACATAAATGGAACTGTTAGTTAGGCATGCGCGCACAACCCCACACACAGAGATTAGGGCGTGTGCAGAGAGAGAGAGAGATAGAAGGGAATGACCATTGCGCTGCTTTAATTCCCTTCTCGCTTACAATTTCCCTTTTATCTATTTGGCTATCATTAATTTGAAAAATGAAAAAGCATAAGATTCAATGATAAAAAATGGGCAATACACAACATAATCTCCATGAGAGAATTCTTAACTGAACTACTAGCACATAAGTTCTTAATGAAATCCATTTCTGAAAATAAATTCCACATAAATAGATTACCTACAAATTAGAAATATATTTCATACCTTTACCCATATGAAATAGATTTCCCACAAAAACCTGCTGATTTCTATACCAGTCCTTTGCCGGCATTTCCCAAGAATAGGGGGAGTCCCTTCCGCATCCACAAAACATGAAAAGCAGCCTTGTAATCTCTTTCTCAAAAGGAGATATCAACAGGACAAAACATACCATAATGTTGTTTCACAGAATCAATGGAATGACTAATAAGATGTCCTCTCTTTTTATCATTTGAATGCTGTCCTATTAGAGATCACTGAACCTTCATCCTCTTCTATTAAAGATAGGAATTTGGGGATTACAATGCACCTTACGGATACAAGACCAATCTGCTTGCACCACTTATACACGTCCACATACAGGCATTGATTAATAGACAACTTTCCAGAATAGATTTTGGTTTAGTATTTTTCTAATACTCCCATCGAGCATAATATGGATTAGAAAATAAACTACAATCTTCAACCCAGTTCAATGCTCAGACATTTGTCTTGATTTTTCAGGAACTTATCTATTTTTCTTATAAATATGCAAGCTGCTCGGTTACTCTCCGTCAAACAATTGGGTCTAAAGATATCTATGGAAAAAAATGGCTTCACTAGTATCATTGAGATCATTGAGAAGGACATAATTATACGAAATAGGAATTAAGGCCAACACAATAGACAAATTTTGATCTTGAAAATCGACCCCAACAAATAGTCAATGCAGTGTGAGAAAGCTGAACTGTGTGATCGTTTCCCCTATATCCATGAGTAGTAGCCCAATCAAGAAAAACAGAGCTGAGACATAGGGGGAATAACCCAAAACCAGTGCGGAAAGTAAAAGACAAATAAAATATAAAGGTCAAGAAACAATTTGAATTGGCTCATGTTGTGGAAACCAGGTAACAAATAAGTTAGAAATTGCTAGCAAACAATATTCAGAATTCAGAAGCCAATTGTAGGCCACTGTTTCTGGCAAATGAAATTGCAAAGCTTAGTTGGAATTCTAGAACTTTCGGACAAATCAGTATTTCGAAAATTGAAGGAATCTTTTTGTCATTTATTGTCAACAGAAATTTTAAAATTTTGACTCTTCAAGGGATATTTTTGGCTATTTCGCCTTTTGGTGCCACAAAACAGTGAACTCCTGGTGCAACAGTGACTCTTCAAGGGAATTTATTAAGGCCCTGAGATAAAGAAACAAGGCTTAAGGTATTTACTTATTGCAAAGAACAGAAAGCTTTGCACATTCATTTTGTAGCAGTGGACCTTGGGCATTGAACCTAGTGAGAAGAGGGACCTGGTTAGAACGACCGTGATGCCCTCGTTTGATATAACCAAGTCATCTAGTAATCTTCCAGCTTGCATAACATGGAACAAGATGACTGCAACCATTTATGATCCTATTGATAGTACCTCAAGAAACCACAGCATATAAGTTGAACAAAACAGCTACCCTTCCTTTCCTTTCCTTTCCTTACTAAAAGTTAAAAGAGAGAACTGATCGCACTTCAGCTGCAGAACCTGTCATACAATGCATGACTTATTAAAGAGAGAAAAGGCAGATGTAAGCCGTACTATAATTACTACCTATCTCAATTTTAGGGGGCTAAAGAAAGAATTAGAATCAACAGAAACACCAATAATGCAAGATACCCCATGTGCAAAATTTAATGCATAAAAAGAATGTGGCATGTTGGTTAGCACTCTTTGTTCGGGAAAGGGGCTGGGGTTGTGGTGGCAACACTCCACACCCTAGTCACCACGTTGTGGTTTCCATTCCCACCACTAACCCCACCCCACTAATACCTTCAAAACAGCTAACTCCTAATCTACTTGAAAAAAATGGGTAGGGGCCTGTCTTCCCCACTGAAATACCCATAAAAAAATAAAAAAATGAAATAAAAAATCATTTAAATTAATGAGAAGTTTCCAAACTTACTGAATGACTTCAATATTTAGAGCATAAGAAACAATAACATCAAATGGAAGTATTCTTTCACTCCATGTTAAGAAAATACAAGAGCAAGAGACCCAAACATGGAACCAAAAAAAATGGTAACAGATATAAATACACCAACAACACCAATTTTACATCAGTAAAAACCTAGAGTTATAAGTGAGGAACCAAATTACATGATCGAACAAAAAAAAATAATTCCACCAAAAACAAAGCTCAGGATTGCAATATATCTCTAATTATAGGGGGACTAAAACCATCCATATAAAGCATAAATAATAGAAGAAATATAAATAAAACATAACAATTAAATAGTTCAGGAATAGTTCTTGAGTTCGTAGTGCCCAACAAGTAACAGGATCTATTGTACTTCTCCTTAAACTCCATCCACTCTTCCCTTTTAGGACTAGAAGTGGTCCACAATCAATCCTTCGTTCCTTTGTCACTTTTTATTCTATGATTTCCTTTATTGGATAGCCGACCCCAATTAATTGAAAAAAGGCTTTGATGATGATGAAGATGGTTTCCTTCATTGGATACAGTCATACAGCATAATACTATAGTAGTCATTTTAGGATTTAGTGTCTGATTACATCTTTCTCTCCTCTAGCCTCTATTCACCTGGAAGCAGTCCCAGTTTAACTTTTCTCTCCTTGGATGTAGAAGTCCTTGTCATTTATGCCACTTCTTATTAAGAACATGACCAAACTAATCATGTTTATCTTGAAATGCAAAACTAGTTTAAATAGTTTAAAAGGGAAAAGCACATAACTTACATTAACTCATATATATACTTTTTTTAATTTTTTTGGCAGGTAAGCTGGGTTAGAATGCAGAAACTTCTAGGCAAGCCATGGGCTTTAGATTTTCTAGAATTAAATTCTCATATTTGTGAATTTTAAGTTCTTAAAAATTGGGCTGAGCCTTGATTCGTTAGCTGTTGACCTTAGCAACGCTATGCCCTATTTCAATTCCACCTGCTGTACTACTCAAAAAAACAAATTTCAAGATCCGAAAAAATATAAGCTTTCTTATTAAAATACATCTAATAACATTTTAAGGAATCAAAATGTAGAATGCATTAACCTTTTCAAGCGAATCCTTGTAGCATCACAATAACCATCACCACTACAGATTTATGTCCAAAAGGACGGTTTAATTGACATTTATCTTCAGAATCCTCGAAAAGGCAGTGGACGTTTCCACTTAAACTGCAATCTAGTCATCAGTAAATACCAAGCCACAATTGTCACCATCTTCACCCCGAACATAACCAGTCATTGCGAAGCAAAAAGTCTTGCATCGTTTTTTAATCAACCCAAGCAATATCTTTTGGGTTATTTTGTCTTTGGAAAAGATTCATGTTGCTTCTCGTTCCATATTCCCCAGCTGTTTTTTCAGTTCTGACCAAATCGAAAAGAAAAAAACCCACGACTTCCAAAGGGATTAACCCATAGCAATCCATCTGATCCCCGTTCACAAGCATAAATTACTGAGAAAGGAATCATCCACGGCCCCATTAACCAAACAAATCACAGTTGCAGATACAAATCTATTGTAGCTAATTGGTTGAAAAAGTGCTAGATTATTTCTTCCTCACTCATGCATAGGAAACAAGCCACAATAAGAAACTTCTATAATCAAGATGATCAACAATAAAAACAATAAGGATTTTATCATGTTAGTATAACCATTAAAAGGACATTAGAGTATCCCTTCCACCATAAAGATTGCCTTACCAACCATCCATCCCTACAAAACTTCCTATATGTCGATTTTACCATGAGAATTTCACACCTTTCTAACTCTTAGATGACAACATTATTATGATCCTCGTACAGAAATCCTATATAATGACCCCACCATAGTCAACAATTCAATGGCCATCTCTATATTCACTCTAATGGCCCCATCAAAAGTTTTCTACAACCATGCTAATCGATCCACATGGACCTGATATCCTTTCCAATTTCCAACCCATATATTCTAATATCCTGGTGAGACTTTGTGCCATAGGCCAGCGTTGTACATGCTTCATTACCAAAGCAATTTGGCCAGAAGTGCTTCTTTAACCAAATTGACATCCAGAATATCTAATCTTACTTTCTCTAGGTCAAGGAGCAACCACACACTAGACCAAATCCAACCTTTCCATGATCAACAGTTTCCACCAAAAATTTCCCTGGAGCATGTCTATAATCTTGTTAACCATTCTTGAAATCCCAAACATAAATATAAACTCGAATCGGATGGCTGACTGAAGTGTTCTTAATGAGTGTGTCTATTCAACTTGTCGATAACTTTTTTGTCCATTCAATCATCAAAACTCACAATTCATTACCGGTTATTCCCATGAATAAAGATAGGGGCCAAGTAGAAATAATGAATATTCCCTGCAGTCCCACGTGCAATTTTAATTCACTTTTTTATCTCTCTCCCGTCCATACTAATACAGCAGTGTTGGTCCATGCAGAAGTAACGTTTGCCCCAAAACATTCTCAAAACTTCTCAACATAGATTCATAGGCAAGACTGGTCCTTTAAACTCCACTACATCATATCACTCGTGAAGTTATGAAATCCCACCCATTCTTGCATCATGTGGAGCTGCTAAATCGAGCGTAATTTTGTCCTCTATCACAAATCACTCTGAGGGACTCAGCTATGACAAGTAGGGGGAGAAGCAAGTGGGGACCACTTGATCTGAGGCCCTACAAGTTCAAAAGGAACCTTTTAGAACCAACAGTGAGATCAACAGAAAAACTGAGAGCAGCTATGGATTGACATAACAGCCTTCATCCATTGGATGCATCTCTTCCAAAAAACCAATTATTTTCAGACTCTAGTACATGTAACTTTTTTTATTAACAATTGCTTCTAACGAGGAAAACAACAAAAAGACTTTAGTAATCGACTACAGGATACTAACCCCTCTTATATTAAATTTCCTTCTCCTCCTTGTGTACGACTTCTTCCAAGTCATCAAAGAATTATTAACTCTACCCTTCAGATCTATGATGCATGGATACTCGTATATGCTTAATGTACTAATGCCCATACCATGTCAACACCGATACAGATATCGGATACTTCTAGAATACTAGTAAAAATAAAATCACCTAAGTCTAAAAGAATACTATGAATAAATACAGTTACGCATTGGGATGTCATACATATGAATCTTGATGATGCTACATGTTATCCATATGTATCAATGAGTTGGATGGTACATTTAGTTATTTATGTATTATACAAGCTATAGTACATACTAGTTGACGTGTTAAATAGCCTATCATATTCATATTGTATCCTGGATTTTAAGAAAAACAGAATCACTTGCCAACTATTTTGTATCTGTACCCATATCTAGGCATCTTAGCCCCAAATGGCCTTCCAAGTTATGTAATACCAATATGGAAAGCTTGGATGAACCAAGTAGTTATACATAGATCAACACTAATCAAGACTGAAAGTAAAACCAGTATCATTTGGCCATGAAGTTAGCCCAACTTAGCAACTAGTCACAATAACTTTCAAATAGGCAGGATTAAAAAAAAAAGACAGACAGAAATGTTGTGGAACAATTCCTAACCTGGTGTGTTCAAAACATTGTTTCAAAACACAGACCGCCCAGCGCCTAGGCGGTCCAGAAGACTTGGGCGCATCGCCAAGGCCTAGGCGACAAAAACAAGGGCGGTCGCTCAGGGGCTGCGCCCTGCCCAGGGGCGAAAATTAATTTCTTTTTAAGGGTTGTATTGAGTTTTTTAAAAAAATAAAAGCTTTTAAGGGTGGATTTTAGGTTCAATTGAAACCTAAACGCACAAGAACCCATTTTAGAGAGAGAGAAATCTCAAAAACACTAGATTTTGGGATTTTTATTGGATCGAAGTGTTTCTCAAAGTTACGAAAAATGGATCCAAACATCATCCAGGTAGATTAGATTTAGTTTTGAAGTTTTTTAATCCTATTAAAGGGTGTTTTTTTACTATTTTAACACCAGAAAACATCTCAGAGGTGAAAGTTTGGAGTTTGAGCAATCAGTGCAAAACTTTATTTTTTAGATTGCTTGTGTTATTTTAAGATGTCTTCTTCAGGATCTAGTCGAAGTGAAGATCCGGGTTGGAAATATGGTTATAACCCGAATCCAAATGACAAAAATTGCATAAGATGCAATTATTGTGAAAAAGACACAAAAGGGGACATAAACCGAAACGTATTGCCGGTATTAAGGAGGATGTTGAGAAAAGTTAACTTCATATTGCTAGGGAGAAAGATTACAAGTGTAAGAAAGTCCGATTATTAAGGAGGATGTTGCCCCTTGTAAAAATGTTCCTGAAACTATCAGAGAGGAGATTAAGCAATATATGAGTTCTGTAAAACAAAAACAGGACCAAAATCCTTATCATTTGAATAGGTCTATTTCTGGTTTTACTAGAAGAAGTGATCCGGGTTGGAAGTACGGTCATAACCCAAAACCAAACAAAAAAAATCGTATAAGGTGCAATTTTTGTGAAAAAGATACCAATGGAGGTATTAACCGATTCAAGAAACATCTTGTCGGTATTAAAGAGAATGTTGCTTCTTGAAAAAAGGTTCTTGAAGCTATTTGAGATGAGATTAGACAATTTCTGAATATAGAAGAACCAATGAGCCTTATTCTATGGAAATATCTTCTCCAAGTTCTTCTAGAAGTGGTGATCCGGGTTGGAAATATGGTTATAACCCGAATCCAAATGACAAAAATTGAATTAAATGTAATTATTGTGGAAAGGATATTAATGGGGGTATTTACCGGTTCAAAAAACATCTTGTCGGTATTAAGGGGGATGTTGTCCCATGTAAAAATATTCCTGAGGCTACTAGGGAGGAGTTATACAATATTTGAGTTCAGGAAAGTACAGAAGATAGAAAAGGGTAGAGCAGCCAAACTTAAGGCCTCATCTGCACATAGTAAGAGGAAGGTAGAAGAAGAGGAGGAGGAAGAGGCAGATTCAGAAGAAACAGAGGAGGACAAACGTTATGTTGAAGAGGGAGATGACTCTGATGATAATGGCGTCGAATCTAATACATATGATGAGGCTTACCCTACTCCTTCTGATGATGATGACTGAAGAATTGAGAGCTTAACTCTTGGTGTTGACTGTTGAGTGTTGACTATTGCGTCTTAGACTGTATATTTTCTAAATTTCTGTATATTTTCTTTTTCTTATTTTCATTTTCTACGTTCTAGTTTCTACTATCTAACTTTTGTCTGTATCAAACTATCAGAGTATCAGTGTATGCTTGTATGGTTTTACTGTTTTAGCATTGTATGAAAATATGGATTATGGTCTTATGGATTATCAAAATTCTCTTCTCGCCTTCTCCTCAATTCATCATTCGTGGAAATATTAAATATGGATTATGGATAGATTATAGAATATCAAAATTCTCAAAAATTCTATCGTTTTTCTTTCAACTGGGCCGCTCAGGTTCTGGGCAGCCGCCTAGCCACTGGGCGGCCTAGACCCACACGGCCGCCTAGGTGCCGCCTAGCGCTTTTTGAAACACTGGTTCAAAATATCGACTTAGTCATGTTTAGTACTTCAAGCCAACTGGACCTTAAATTATGTTCTGGCCATTGCAGATAAGATAAAAATCCATATCATCCACCATACCACCAAGTTTATCACTGCTAGACAAATCTTCCCATATATCTCCTTGGACAGCAGATAAGGACTCTCCACAGCACCCATTATTTTGGACATACCCCAAACATCAATAAGTCAAAAAGTCAGCATTTGTTACATATATATATATATATATATATATACACTTGAAAAAGAATGTTATTCTTGACGCTTCGGGAAGCCCTCCTTAGCAAGAGCCCAAGATGTGGTATTTACCAAAACTCCTTCCACCAAAAGGGGAGCCCAGGTCCAGTCAAACAGTTCTAAACCTTGAAATAAGTCAGTGGCTTCTCCATCAATGGATTCTTTATTGTCAATAGGTCCTAAAAAGATAGAAGCTCTCTTGCCTATTTGTCTCTAAATACTCCCCGCTGGATGGGCCAGAGTTGCATATAAATCTGCCTTCGGAGATTGGCTTCTCAGTTCGAGGGTTGGTGAGTTCCAATTGTTCAGGTGCCAGCTCCTCACTGTAGCACTCCAGGCTGTACAACTTGTTATGAGGATATCCCTAGAAATTTTTTATCATGGTAGCCCACAATGTAGGAATCACCATAATCTTGTCGATTATGATTCAACTATTTGATGAAATCTAATCGGAAGTACGCCCTATTGAATATTTGATGAAATATAATAGAAAGCTCTACGACCCCCATAATTCGTAAGATTCTCAAAAATGAAATGTCCACAAGATCAAACCTGATTTTGGCTTGGGTGGGGAAAACCACTATTTAAACACCCGAGCCAAAGAGTGTGGGACACCCAAAAGAAAGGTAAAGAAAGGAGTTCCAAACGAGACTAAATTTGCAGTTGAGCAAGAGATGAGAAGCTTTTATTTTTCACATGAATGAAAAGAAAGGCAACTAATCTTTGATATGGATTAATGGGCTATTATAACAAAAAGAATCAATCAACAATGGTAAATAAACAAAACCGAGACCAATTGAATATTAATATATTCATGAGTTCATTGTTTTCCCTTCATGTATGACGCATGTATATATATATATAATCAGCGGCTTGAGCTCGAGGGAACATTTGTGGGAATCACTTACGTACTCTAGACCAATGGGGTTCTATAATTTGCTCTATACAAGTTAGTGGGCTGGTGTCTGGTAACATGCTTCCGGAGATTTAGGCTGAGCATTTTGATGTCTTTGCAGATGCCCAAGTTTAGGCACCTTAAGCTCAACTTCATGTGTACTTACAAGGCAATCCGAGTGATGCAGATTGATTTCTGGATGTATAACTTTTCACCTCGAAGTCCATTTGGGGGGATTCAAAGCATAAATAGAATAACTCTTTTGAGATCTACAACCCTTATCTCTACAGGTTTTAGCAATTTGGACATTTGGACTCAAATTGTTGTTGAAAACCTGCTGGAAAAAACAGTGACGATATTTATTCTCCGAAAAGTGTTTAGGTCTCTATCTTTTCATCATAGAGGCCTTAGTGTGATTGGTTTTTAATATAAGTTTCTTTAAGTTATTGAGTTTCCAAAAGTAATGTTCCCAACCCACTTGGATTAGAAACCTAGAGTTGGAAAGTATCTTAAGAGTCTTTAGGAGTTTGTTTTCTATGTTTTCAGGATTCCAAGTATAGGGCAAATAGATCTTAAATGTATCTATTAATGCCGATGTAGACCTTTGGCCAATTCATTCAAACCTAAAGTTAACAATAACGATTGAGTTCTTTCTTTGGATAATATGAGGCCATCTTTGAAGGAGTAAATCATTCACCTCGAGAAGAGATTCCTCAAACGTTTCTTGCAAACAGAGTAATTTCTAGCACTCTAGCTTAAGACTGGGAGAGCCTCCCCAATAATTCAGAATCACTCTCTTTTTGTGAAAAGAGTGTTAGGTTTTTCTTTCTCTCTTGAGTAGCACTTCCCCATCCATGATTCCCTCCAATTTTTTTTTTTTATTTGGGGTAGTTCAGTGAGGATGGGGTCCCCTACCCGTGGTAGTAATGGGACTCAAGACATTATATCATGGCGACTCATCAATCGACCCTTCCCAAGCCCTAATAATGCAGCTTCTTCCCATACCCATCATACATGCCCCTAAGTGCAACCATATATTAGCCACAATCATGCCTCATTCCATTCAAATCTATCAAACCCCTAGCTGGATCAGCAATTTTCCAGCAACTTCAACCCCCCTTAACATGCACTAAACCTAACCCTAATTTTCCTTAATCAGATCACCTTATCTTCAATTCTACCTTATTTTGAACTTAAATTTGCCAATTCTATTCAAACTAGGAGACCTCGATAATCCCCAAAACCTGTCCCATAGTCATTTCGTGTTGGAGCCAAGCCCCATTGCCCCTATATTATGGAATCCCAAGGGAGTGCATACATGGGATAGGTCAAATCATTTACATGCTCTTTGTGAGAAAAAAAATGATAAGGCTGATCAGCTGGCCAAAGAAGGTCTTGAGTGTGCAATTATTGCAATTTCACTTTACATATTTCCATGTATTGAGATGGCCTCTCATCGTATATGTTTTTTTCCCTAAATCTGTATCATTTTAAAGAGGGGGAAAAAAGAGAGAGGGAGAGAGAGAGAGAGAATAATTGCCCTATCGCATTTCTTCATGTGTTAAGGGAGGGAGGCTAAAACTGCCGCACCCACCCTTTTCATGCACGCATACACAGACAGACACAAACACAGACACACACATATACATATATAGACGCACACACGTCCCAAACCCATTCCTTCCCTATTATATGCTTGGAATAACCTTTTGCATTTGAAACAGTTTATCCATCCACCTTCAGAGACCTTCAGAGGCTTGCTATTTTTATTATTTGCGATTTTCAAGTTATTCGTCTGGCAAATGTAACAATTTGCTCTATCGTCCATTGTGTGATTCATTTGCTTTTTACATATGGAATTTGATATACCTATTAAATATTGGTATTCTTACATCTACATGCAAATCTGTGGTTTTTGTTTAACACTTGCAGACTTAGCAATGCACACAATGCCCAAAAATTTAGGGGAAGATGCTCACTGACCTTGCAATGCAAAAATTGAAACAAACAAACTTAACAAAATCTAGAGACCCAAATACACCTATAGGTCTTCCGTCTTCCCCTCTCTCATGTATCTCACACTCACAAACACCCCCACCACTGCAAAACTTCTTCCTTTCTTCTTCTTGGCGTTACTCAAAATCCTTCAAACTCCATCATTGATTTTTCCTAAAAAACAATGGAAAGACAGAAATACTACAAGTTGCATAGGTAAAACAGCCAAAGCCGGTCTTTCAAAATCTGCGTGTTGGCTATGATAAAGGGTGTGAAGATTTCAAAATCTGCATGTTGGATATGATAAAGGGTGTAAAGATAGGGCTACAGCCCTGTTTTTTATTCGAAGCCCCCTGTTCCCCCAACCCTACACACAACTGGCCCAAAAAACAAAAAACATTTATTGATCTAGAGAAAGCTTATGACATAATACCTAGAGATTTGATTTGGTAGGTGTTGGAAAAGAAATGAGTCTCCAAACACCACATCAACTTGGTGAGAGATATGTACGAAGGAATGCTAACTAATGTACGAACAACTAGTGGAGAGACGAGTGAGTTTTCAGTGACAATAAGTCTATATCAAGGGTCTAGACACCTATAAGATGAGGTACCGTGGTGCATGTTGTTCGCAAATGACATAGTTTTCATTGATGAGACCCAAAACAGCGTCAACACAAAGTCAGAACTTTGGAATGCTCTAGAATCTAAAGATAACAAGACTATGACAGCATATGGAATGCAAGTTAGTAATAATGGGAGTAGAAAACGAGGAAGTAGTTAAGATTGACAGCCAAGAAACACCAAAAAGAGTATATTTTCGATATCTTGGGTCAATAATCCAGGAAAATAGAAAGATTGAGGAAGATGTTGCACATTAAATTAGAGCTGAGTGGGCGAAGTAGCGATGTACAACCAAAGTTTTATGTGATTGTCGCATACCAGTGAAGCTGAAGGGCAAGTTCTATAGAACAGTTGTGAGATCAGCTTTACTTTATAAAGCGGAATGTTAGGCGGTCAAGAAACAACATACCTATAGAATGAGTGCAATTGAGATGAATGAGTGGTAAGACAAGAATGAATAGAATTCGAAATTACTATATTCAGAGAATTTAGGTGTGGCACCAATAAATGATAAGATGAGAGAAAGTACACTTATATGGGCCGACCATGGGTAGCACAGATCCAATACGGCATTTGTTAGGAGGGGGCGAGGTGCGAGTTAGTTCATGCTTAGAAAGGGCAAGGGGTAGGCCCAAAAGGACATGGTTGAAAGTAGTGAGAATAGTTTTTTTTTTTTATAATGTTAATTATAGCTAGTGAGAACAGTTATGGAGACATATGGCCTCACTAAGGATATGGCCCTTAATAGAGCATAATGGCAGATCAAGATTCGTGTAACCGATCCCAATTAGTTGGAAAAAGGCTTTGATGATGATGATGATAAATTTCATTTTTTGCAGGAGAAAATAGTTTCAAGAGCTCTAGCAAGCATTATTTCCATGCCAGTTTCAAGTAACTTAGGCCAATCCAAGTAGGGCTCACCAAGTTTTGGAATACTATTCAAAAGGAACTTCTCGTCATAAAGTTGTTGTTACAAATTGAAGTCCAAGGTAGCAACTACTTAAGATTAATCAACTACAGTCAACATAAGATTGGACCAACAAACTTAGATTAATCTCGATTTTTGGTATCTCAAGATATTGGGTCAACCTATCCATTAATGTTTAATTAATTTTCGTGTTAGCTTCTCATCACATTAGGTGAAAAAGCAGTTTAGACTCTTACGAAGTAAGCAGAGGGAACTACACATTGGAAATGGAAATGTAGAATCAATGGTCAAAGAAAGAAGACAAATCATGTCAATCATGGGAAGTTGGCACAACCCAAGACTACCAGATGCAATCAAATGCAGTCCCACATAAAGCTTGTAAAGAGAATGGACAAGTGGTCACAAAGATTAGCTAGTTATGGAATTACTTCATCTCAAAGTCTTTAGAGTGCTAGAATCCTAGAACTTGCCAATTACTATGCTTACATATGGGGTCAGCATATTGCAAACTCAATTGCATACTTCCAGTAATTCAGCTCCCTTTACAAAGAGGATGCTAAAACGTCAATGTATAAAAAATACTAATGACAAAAATTCACTGGCTTTCCCAATGCAGGAGGCTATACACAAAGATCTAATGATCATACATGGGATTAATGAGAGGAAACAATAAAAACATGTTTGCCAATCATCCTGAAATATTACCTGCTCTTATGTGTCATTTGAATTTCAACAAGAAGAGATGTACTTTTATCCATCAATACTTCCAGTTGTGCTGTTTCACCATGTTTTCTGAAAGGATGCAGACATCACATACAATGTTGTAAACTACCAAATGGTTAACAGGACAAAGAAAGTATAAAGATTACCTTGTTTCAAATTAACCTTAATTTAAGTAAGCTAAACATCTTTTATGCAATTTAAATCCAAAAGCTAATCAGATTGGCAAACCCGCCATGAGTAAATGAAAAAAGTCTGGGATTTTATAAAATCAGAAAATTTTCAATCAGGGATTTTATAACATCAGAAAAATTTCAAATCAAACTGGAACACTAAAAGCCATTTGTTACTCAAGTTAAAATTGCTAAAGAATTTAAGATGGCCACACTCCAAACATTAGGACAGGGAGATAAAGTATAAAGAAGAACAAAAAGGGCCAAAGGGTACATATTTAAAATATTATAGCATTGCATTTGGCAAGTGATTTATAAAAACGGATGAGCTTACAATAAAAGGATTAGAGATCCAATAACAGAAAGGAACTTACAAGAGAACTTCAGGGAAATCATACACGAGAAATGCAATCAATGGCTGTGTTTCAATCTTGAATAGTCTTGACATGTGTAATTGTAATAGTGAGGAGAAATGATGAGAATGGCAATGCATTTCCTTGTATTAAAGCGCAGAAGAGATGACAGAGGAAGTAATCAATATGGAAACCCTTCTCTCTAACATTGGGCAGCCTTGCAACTTATCCTTCTTGCTTGATCCAATTCAGGCATAATATGGTGACAGATATGACGAGTAAACAACAAGTAGCATGCAGAAAAAATCCATGACCAAATTCCACATCCAGATGTCTAACATGGAATTCAATTAGAGAAACTTGTTGATCCATTCACGGCCTCCTCCTTGCTTGCTTCCCGCTCTTGGTCATTTTAATATGCCATAATAATCAACACCATCTCGCACTCAGAATGAAACTCCATAACCCCAAAGTCCTTCCTCTCTTCTTCACCCACAGAGGTCAATTACGAAAATCAACAGTGATCCTCGAAGATCAGAACTCCATGGATCACATTCGCCAAGACAAATGTCAAAGAGAGAAACAAATACAAAGACTACGATGAAGGATCTCAACCCAACAAAGCTTTCAATACCTCCAAATTCTTCATTGGAGGAACTCTTCTCTTGACCAGTTCAAGTATCTCCCTCCCCTTTTCGTGATTTGAACTTTCAACTAGGCCCTCCACAAGTTTTGTAATGGTGTCAAAATTAGGAAACCAATTCTTACTCATACTCTCTTTACAGAGCTTAAAAGCAAGATCAAACTCACCATTTTTGCAGAGATAATGAATCATTGTCTGGTAAATCTTACTGTTTGGGCTACACAACTTCTGGCCCAATGAAAAGAAGATCCTTTTTGCCATTAGGAGATGACCCACTCTAGAGAAACCCTTTATGAGCAAATTATACGTGGTCTCATCTGGTTCTATACCTAAAGATACCAACTTCTCCGTTAAGTTCCAGGCTTGCCAATTCTTCCTCTTATTGATCAAGTACTGTATCCTCGAATTAAACGTTGCTAAATTGGGTCTAACACCCTTCAATCCCATCAAATTCCACAGTCCATTTGCAATAATGGGTTGATTATTCTTGTAAAATGCATCCATCAAAGTCGTATAGGTGAATATATCTGGTTTGATCCCTGCATTTTCCATCTCAACCATGTAGAGATAAGCGGTATCAAGAAAACCCATGTCAGAAAAGGCCTTAATAACCAGATTGAAAGAGAACGAATCGGGTGAAAACCCATGAGCTCGAGGAGTTTCAGAGAAGAATTGAGCAAGGTGGGCGAGGTCTTTCGATTGAATAATCGCAGAGAGAGCAGCATTGAAGGTTTTTGTGGTGGGGTAGATATAGAAAGCGTTTATAGCATGAGAAACCATCGAGGCGTGAGCGTAGAGAGAGGTTACTCTAAGAACAAAGCCATGGCGTCGACCAAGAGGGCCTCGGAGTTGGGGTTCGAGGATTTGAGCAACGAGGTCATGGCGCCCAGCCCCTGCTAGTCTAGAAACCATGTCTTTGTAGGCGAAGCTGTTCTCGATAAGAAGGCGAGAAGAGGAATGGCGTTGAAAGAGGAGAAAGAGCTTTTCAGGGTCTCTCTCTTCCTTAAGCTGAGCTAGAAGGTGAGGAGCGGCGGAAGGTGCAGAGGGCGAGGAGGAGATGGTGGGTGTAATGGCGCTAATGGTGGAGAGGCGGCGAACCAGGCGAGAAGAGAGCATGTTACGGAGCATTTGAAAAGGGTGGTTTGTGGGGTGTGGTTTGAGGGGTTATGCAGGGTTTACTACAAAAAGAGGCGGACCAGTTCCCATCCTCATTTCACTCGACTCCCTCTCCCTCCTCATTTCTCCCTGTGTCGACCCGGATCTGACCTGATTAGGTTTAACCCAAATCTGGACTTGGATCTGACCCAAACCCACGTCAGGTCTAAGTTATTTGGACCCAAAACCAACCTAGACTCAGGTTTAGAATTAAAATAAAAAACTATTTATATATTGTATTTTTTGTTTTTATGTATGTTTGTGATTTGTATATGATTGAGACCCTAAAAATCAAAGTAAGGTACACTTTCAAATAGTATCGAAATATCTTATGGGAAAGGTTTTTATACTTCTCCTACATCATAGAAAATCTATGCTTCCAGCTGTCCAATTTTGATCAAGAGAGTCACTCACCGTTTGATCCTAGATTCGACGTCTCAAAGTATTTTATTTATAGTTTTTTATAAAATTGTATGAATATGAAATTTGGTACCTGCCATCTTTTCATTGGGGCGTACCTATAAAAAATATTAAAAATAATTTTTTGATAAAATGTAATATAACAATCCTAAACTTTCAAAACAAATAATAATAAATATAAATAAATAATTCTTTATAGTGTGATGGTCCATATAAATATTATGGTCCTTAAGGGCTATCACCACTTTTGTTAACTTTTCCTTTCATTACCACCTCCTTTAGTGGACGTGGGCTTTAAACGTCTCATGTGTAATAATTGTTACACCTCATGTATGAGGTCTAACTTAATAAAATAATATAATAAGGTATCTTAAGAATTTAAACAGGAGAGACGATGACTCCCACTCTAAAAAAATTTTGAGATCTTTCTCTCTCTAGTCAAAACGCAATGAGCGCTTTCTCTCTTTAGCCGAATTTT